TTACAAGAAAACAACCAAGCTCAGGGTGTCAGGGTTCCAAATAAAACACCCAACAAAAGAAGACTCCGAGGCTAGAATTTCCTCAAAGGTCCATTTTTTTTAGAGATGTCATATTGGCACATCTGGGAAAACACAAATCTGAAAGCTTCCAGGTTTTCCTCACCCAACAGATAGTCCAAGACCCTTCCCCTGCACCCACATGCCCATCACATGGTCCAATCAATGCATCGTCCCAACTGGAGGTGTCTCCCAGTCACGCCATTGCAGATGCAGGCCGAATGTCCTTGACTCTCTGAGAAAGGAATGTTATTATGGCTAGATATCCCTGCGACCCCATGCAATCCCCCCTCCCAGTTTCCCACAGCACTAAAATGTGGCGGCCCTGAAGAATTCAAGAAAAAGATGACCTCCAGGGCTGACACAGGGAGCACCAAGGACCCTTCAACCCACATTGGATCAGTATGGTAAATTGTGGTCTACAACCTTCAGTGAAGAGGTTTTTATTTTGCAGTGGATTCATTTGGGCCAGTCATGATAACAATATGTGTATGTTTGTCCCATCTCTCTTTGGAGTAGTTTACTCCATTTATACTCCTATATAAGTTTTTAATGTGGAATATTAATTTGTTATTGTGGTTTCTGATCTATTACAATGCTGTAAATAGGAATAAATCAACTTTCATCAAAGGAAAAAGTAATCAATGTATTTAAGTATGATTTCAAATGTTACTTTCAAACACTGACCTTCATAAAGACCTCAGACACGAAGAAACGGTATTTTGGTTAGTATAGATCTGCTGTAAATTAACAGTTCTGAGTCTCATATTTTTGTTGTACTTTCAATGAAAATACATCATTCATTTTAATATTCTCCTTTCTGACCAAGATACCAAAAACCTAAATTACGTAAAATGATAAATATATTAAAATTAAATGACTCAGATGTGAAACCCCATGACTGTGAGATATTTCTCAAATAATTTTCCGTTGAAGGAATTTGATCACTGCTGTTGAAAATAATTCAAGAATATGTACTGTGCTCTCTTTCTGCTCTACCCTTTATCCAATATTTGGTGGTGCATTAGTACCCGGGAGCTGCATTTGATACATTTAATTGTTTGGCTAGAATATATTGCTTGGAGGAAACCTCTTGCTTTCTTTGAGGTGGGATAGATTATTGAGGTCAATTTGCCAGCCTTCTGGGGGGGGGAAATCCAATGTTTTTAAAACGATATCTTCCAACTCAGCACAGCGGCACAGTCCTGTTTTTCCCTTATCTCCTATATTATTCAGGTGATGCAGTGACAGGTAATCATTGTACTACAGCTTAACAGAATCTAAATTATATTTTGGGAAAGGTTAGTTAGGTTCAGTTCTTCTGAAATAGCCCACACAAAAGGGTCATAATGGAGATCAGCAAACTGATTTAATACTCTTTCTGTACAGGATTCCACACTTAATTTCTCACACTAAATACTGAAATACCACATCTGCCCCAAATGGAAATGTGTGTGATAAGAAGAAGAATATCAAGCTTAGGATGCTTGGATCAGAACTGCTGCATGTGATGAAATGTACCACTTTAGTAAGAAAAATCAAGGCACTGAAAACAAAGGCAATGAAAACTCATAAGCTTTGTGACTCTAGTGTCATACAACATTAAGCATAACATCTGGGGTTGAATCAGCCAGGTCTGCCAAGAAGCAATCATTATTGATTGATTGAATGAATATATAGGGTTGGTTGATTCTGTGGCCCTGCACTACACCCAAGGAACTGTAGTGCTTCTGGCCCTATTAGTGCAACTTCAGTGACGTAACTGGGGTCCAGAGTCAATAGAAGAGAGAACCCAGGCTGACTCCCTAGCTGAAGATATGGCTTCACCAACTGCAAGGCAAAGTATTAGCCATTGAGGTTGTGACAGTGCTTGCAACAGTCATGTGTGACCAGTACAGAGAGACAAAGTTGGCTGTCCTTGGACACTTCAAATGATAATGTTGAGTTTCTACCTCTTTGATCAATTCTGGCCTATCTTTCTCTGTTCTGCTGTGAATTATGATTGGGATTGATTATTGCCCAGTTAGCAAATATTCCTGCATTAGTAATAACATTTCATAAATATAGACCTGTTCTGTCCCCCCTTCTCCGCTCGTTAACAGACGACAAGCAGAAAAACGTAAAAGGAACTCACTTTATCAGTTCTCAGCTCAGACTGGCTGCGAGCCCAAAAATAAACATAAATAAAGTCTCTGACGAAATAACAGAATACCAAACAAAAACTCTTACAAAGCAATGCACTTCTCCAATCCGGGTTACAGAAAGCAAATCACTTCTCCAAGTGTCTTTCAAATAAACCATGACCGATGATCAATGAATGTTGAACGAAAGAATGAACATTGACTCCTGCAACCAGGGCATGGCACTATCTGTTCTTTTATCACCAGAACCCCACTAACGAGCCCCAGCTGGATCGTTAATCTTGCATCCCAAAAAGACTCACAGGAAATTTCTGCTGAGTCACAACATAGACCATTACTATTTCATTGTGTTTGTCAAATGGCTGTGATTTGCAGAATCAAATAGTGCTCCAAAGAAATTGAAGATAAAGGAATACAGTAGCAGCTAACAGGAAAAACATGGGAAAAAAGATGGGGAATATTTAGGGATTTTTAGAAAATGTTTTAACCTATTCAAAGTGCTAATTCAGCTGAGACCCTGAAATCAATAAATAGTGAATATTTTCTCCAGCCCTTTCAGCAACGCACCAGTAAATATTAATTATTCTTAATACTTTTGATTTTAAGTAGAAGTAAACATTTTAAAATATTTCATGGAAAATATAATTGTCAGTATCTCTTTGATACTTCTCTTAGGAACATTTATTATGGTAAAGTTGTTTTTTCTTATAGGTCACTTCTTTTGAATGAATTGTCTTTTTAAAAAAACAGCTCTGTTTTCTGTGTTATTATACAACTAATTGTTGCAGTGATGGCAGTTGCAGTGAAAGGTGCATTACATGTAAATGAATGTAATAGTTAATAGGAGACCATTAAAACACTATATAATTATGAGCAATAGACAATACAGGATCTGTATTACAATGCAGTCAAGGAAAATTTCAGAATTAACTTGCAGCGCATGAGTTTGATAACACCATGCACATTTTAATAAAAAAATAGCTATCTCGTTCATTCCAAAAGCCAATGTTAGTTTAGTTTGATTTTTATTTATATTAAGCAGCTAGAGATTGGAGAACTGAATTTGAAAAGCCTGAACTTTTCTCCAGTGGAAGATCCTTGAAAATTGTTCTTATTAGGAAAAGACAGGGAAACTCTTCTCCATTAAAAATTTTTGGCACTGCTGAGTTGGAGAATGAATCATGTCCAAAGCTTTCCTCATTTGCCCTTGTTCTCTTCCCATGCCTTTTATAAATAGAATATGGAAAAATCTAGTTCAAGATGTCTTCTGATTTTCAGTTTCAAAAGAAGTTGATAGGATGGTAATCAAAAGTGAAAAATGTGAATATCAGAAATTGGTCTTGATTGATTCTAACCATTGGACAGTCTAGCCAAACTTCATGGCCAGTCCTCCAGCATTATCTCACTAAACAAGGGCTGTCAAACTCACAGCCCATGGGCCGGATGACTTACGTGCTAGCCACACCCATGCTCATTTTAGCGCAGGGGGAGAAAGTAGTGATATGTCACGTGATGATACCCTGATGATGTAAATTTGACATCCCTACACTAATTAATGTAAAATATAGATTTGTATTAGAACCCAACCAAAGTCAATAAAGAACAACAGTTATTTAAAAAATAGTTGAAAGCTTTAAAAGTTTACTGGCTAGTCAGATGTGTGAATGTGTTTTTTTTTAAAATACATTTGAATTCTATATAGGAAATTTATAGAACTTCATTAGACTTTCTGATGGCTTATCTAACTGTCTAGTGTCTTCCAGGTTCTCAGATTACTTACTATTTGATACAGATGCTACAATCTTATAAGCAGGGTAGTGTTGTAGGGTTATAATGCTACACATGCATTTTTAACAGACCTACCATATCTGGGCTGTGTAATTCAAAGTGATCACTAGATGGCAATCAATGGTTAGGGTTGTTTACACCTTGTTGCTGACATTTAGTTGTGTGCTTGTTTATTTGCATCTACTTTATAGTAGACCTAGTCTTAAAAGTACTTTTAAATCTGCAGAACCATCTTCTACGTAAATGTGGACGCAATCAAATTGTTTTTTTATTATCAGTTGTCAGTTTCCAGTTTATTCTTTTAGAAGTTAATTCCCAGCACATTAATTTAGTGAAGGTAGATATAGCTGGCTGTGGCCATCTCTTCAAATCCCCAGATACTAGAAGCTGCATTCATCATTGTCCAAAGAAGGACTTTTAAATAAATGTTAAAAAGTAATGTTGAATCTGTTTTTCTATCTTAAAAAAATACCCTTCTGGCAATTCTGTCCTTATCTTGTCAGTTATTCTTGATGGATAAAATGCAAAAGCTTTCTTGAATTGTGTGAAACTAATCAATTCTCCATCACCTCTAGCTGATCCAGATGAATGCTTGAGAATATGTTTTCTAATCAGGAGGGGAATCGTCTTAACAAGAATTTGGCAATCGGCAGTAGTCAGTGGTATTGGCCTGCCTTATAGCTGCCACCAAAGATTTCCTGTTTACTTATTCAAGAATTGTTGTAATTAATGTTTCTCTCATTCCTTTGGTGAGGCAGCTCTTACTGAAGACTCCTTGAAATGTCTCTTGCACACAGTGGACCTCAGCAGATTCTAGAAGGATTTACTAAAGCTTGCAAATCCCCAAATTTTAAGACCGTTCTTCACACTCAAATTACACTTTGTTTTGAATTATGCAAAGCACTGCCATTATGAAACTGCACCAACACTCTACTTTAGAAAAGAAAGAAAGAAAGAGAAATAGTTTGGACTATTCTTCACTTGACAACTCTATTTAATTCTGTGACACTGCAGGTATCTGCAATCCGATGTGCATGCATGGTGGGAGATGCAGCAGGCCCAATGTTTGTGACTGCCCATTTGGCTGGAAAGGAAAGCATTGTAGTATACGTGAGTCTGAATCCCCTTTGATTCAAATCGGCTATTCGTTGAAGTACACCAGCATGAGCGGTAATCTGTTTTAAAGCTAATTATTGAATGTTTGGCCTGTTTTGGGACTTTGAACGGGGTTATGTTTTGGTCATTCAAATTAAGACAACATTTTACACTTCCCAGTATAACCATAAAAGACCTTCATTTCTGTCCGTCAAAAACTGTCAATCTGTTAGCCAACCTTTAGACTTGGTTATTCCTGTAGGCTTGGGGCCTCCAGGAGATACGTGAACTGGTGAGATAACTCTGCTATTTTTAACTTCTCTTTTTCTATTATTCTTTGTTTTAGCTTGGTTTTTACAGTTTTTGATTTAATAACTGTGCTTAGTTCTGTTGTATGCCAGCCAGAATTGCTTATTTTGCGATGGTGAGTTTATAAATTGGTTTATTAAACAATAAAGACACCAATAAGTCTGAATATGAACATTTCTAAGTTTTGAGAGCTTCTTTTTTGTTTGCTTGCTTTTGTTTTCACCTCAGTCCTTTAAGCTTTGGGCAGCTGGTTTCATAATGAATTTTTGATGATCTCTCAGCCAGGGAAGGAAGACATCATATGTAAATGATGGTTTAAAAAAAATCTTAAGCAACTTGCCTAAAAGATTGTTTACATGGTAAACAAGGCTACTTTGCAACAACTCTGTCACTCAGCGTCCTACGAAGGGCACTGATCTGATTAAAGCACCATTTAATATCCTCATGTTCAGTCTGAAATTAATGGGTTACTCTGTTAATCACTCAATCAATTAAGGATTTCAGACTTAATAGAAAATGAAAATTTAATGACTAGGGAATCTGCCTTTGGAGCAAATCCATGATGAAACTAGAAGTCAGAGTAGCAGAGATTAAGGGGGAACTTGCTAATCATGGACATTTCAGAATGCAAATTGCCTCATGAAGAATGCTCATTAAGCTCTTTTGAGATCAAGCTATTTTGAAAATAATTGTAGGAAGCTAAGACGGCATGTCATTCAGTAAAGTGACTTAAAACTCATGGGCCATCATAAAGATCTTCTTATGTCCTCTCTTCACCTTTATTATTTTTTTCCAGCTGTGTGTCTACCCAGCTGCACAAATGGAGGTGAATGCATAGGGCCTAACATTTGCCAGTGCTCAGAAGGATGGGCAGGTCTCCTATGCCAAATACGTAAGTAGTTTTTGAATACGATTGTCTTTTCTCTTTGCTTTTTGTCTCTGTTCAATTGATGAATTGATGCAGTTTTGCTTTCTTCCATATTATTTAAAAGAGAAGATAAAGTTATATTCATAATGTTTATGGAAAAAATAGAAATATGGCTAAGTTAAAAAAAAACACACGCATTTTGATATATAGTATAAGCCAGATTTCATAGGTACCACAGTGGTGGGATTAAAAAAATTACTACCTATTCTCTGGGCTTGGTGGGTATGGCAGGGGAAAGATATTGTAAAATCTCCATTCCCTCCCCACTCCAGGGGAAGGTTACTGCAAATCTCCATTTCCTCCTGATCAGCTGGGATTCGGGAGGCAGAGCATAGATGGGGGTGGACCAGTCCGAGGTGGTATTTAAGCAGAACTGGTCCAAACCTGCTGAATACGACCTCTGGTACCACTGCTAAGATTACGCCATTTTTCATTGCAGCTGTTGAAAATGAGGATCCAAAAGAACAGGGGTGTTAAACTCATATTCTGTGGAAAACCTTATTTAATCACTTCTTTTTAAAAAAAATGTAATCCAAACCACATCAAAAGGTGTTTTTTTCCTGCATCTAAAGGTGGAACTTTTTATAACTTTTATGGAGTGTTAGAATGGCAGTGTTTATCAAAAAGGCATCAGTTAATTTACAGTTTCTATCCACTATATCTAGTAGTAACTGTAAATTAACTGATGTATTTTTCATAAACCCTGCCTTTCTAACACTCTACTTAAGCTGCACATCCTCCGCAAAGATTTTTTTCTACATACCTCAAATTTTGTACCATTTCTCAAAATCAATTTCTCAAAGGATATGGCTAAAATCTTGACTTTGGTTTTCCCTTTTCCTTTTCTCAACCAAAAGCATATGATTCTGGCTTTCTTTTCTTGTTTAGACACATGTTTAAGTGGTGATTTTATAGTTTAATGTTATGCTTGTCTATTCTGAAATAAGCCATATAAAGTACAGTGAGACTTACTGCTATCTCCAATTTTAATTTGAAAAACTTTCTTCAATGTGCCCTGGGTAAACAGTCTTACTATAAAGGTACTCAGAAATAAGCCCTATTAAATTCAACCAGTCTTTCTCCGAAGTCAGTCTTCATAGCTTTAATGGCATGATAGGAATTTTAAGCATAAGCAGGGAAAGGGCATTTCTTTTTTTCCATTTTACTCACATAAGTCAAATCTAGTAAAACATGCTTACAATTTGTTATGTTGGATGGGTAAAATGTAATTTCATTATCACATTATGCAGAAAAGACATAGAGAAGTCATGAGCATCTGTACTGCTGACCAAGATAATTTTTCTGCTGAAAATAAATGACAGAATGCTAATAGGAATCCCAACATTTTTTTCTTTCTGCTGCCACCTTATCTAGGACTGAATTCTCTTAATAATTCCCCTTATTGTTTGATACGATGCATATTGCTGCTGAGAAATCCCGTGAAAGCAGTGTATGGCAGCGCATACAAAAAGTTTGATTTGAAATTGTTAAAGCAGGCACATCTTTCTTTCCATTCTTGCATGGCTGCTTCTGGCTGATTCCACTTGTGCTAGGCAAAATGGTTGTGCATACACCCACAGAGATAGCCAGAGGTAACTTCCAAAGAAGCTGCATGAACCTGAAGAAAGGTGCCATTAATTTAACATATCAAAGAGATAGACTTTGCATATCCTCCCATGTGTCCTGAAGCACCTTTTTCAACAGGAGTTTCATAGTCCTGAAATATGCAGTACAGTCCACATCATCTCTCTTATGCTCACTGAATTAAATAGTTTCATGGTTCCAGTAATTAGCACCCAAATTTGCTTATGAAAGTTCACCTTCTGAAAATCGCTTTGATTGGAATGAGTTTGTTTAAAAAAAAGAGCTTGCGATGCAATCAGGTGAAAGCAAAAGAAAAGTCATCCTTACTAACAATATGTGCTCCAGTTTTCACCTTCTCTGTCACAGAACACAGAACACAGAACACATTTTCAGGAAGATTAAGTGTTTTAAGTTGATCATGATCATTATCACTCTATCTTGAACAATCAGAATAGTCGCTATACAAAATAGCAAAATCACAAACATAAAAATAACAAGGGTAGAAAAGAGAGGAATAACTAATCTAATCAAGGTGAATCATCCAAATATTGGCTAAAAGAGCCAACTGGAGGCCAAAGACCATGAAAAATAGAAGAGAGGCTAGCTTTTTTTAAGTTTTTTAAAATGAAATGACCAAAATCTTCATTTTACTGTTTTTGTTAGTTTGATACAGTATGATTTCTGCAGAAGCTTAAGGCAGCTTCATCTTCTCCATACAAGAAAAATCCTAACTATAAGGTGGCTTGAGCTGACAGAAAGAAATGGTCCAAAATCTTTCAGTGTGTTGGCCCAGGAAAGACATAAAATTGATCTACCCAGTCTTAGGAACACCTGTACACAGGAGTGTCCAGTTTACGGACCTCTAGTTGGTTCACCACAGATAGATAGATAGATAGATAGATAGATAGATAGATAGATAGATAGATAGATAGATAGATAGACAGACAGACAGACAGACAGACAGACAGACAGACAGACAGACAGACAGACAGACAGACAGACCGCAGATAAATATATTCTGTTTGCTTTACTTCAGGAGTCCTAAAATATCCAAAAAAAGATATTTTTCAAAGAAAGGTGATCCAGAAGAAGATATTTTTGTTATGCCATTTACTTAATTTAGGAATCACTGTATGGTATGCAGCTATAGAGAACATTGAATCTACTTTTCTATTTGAAACATCTTATAAAGTTATTAAAATAATGACTAATCAGACATCCTGCTCATTAACCTCAGTGCCTTCATGCTGATTACTATCTACTGCAACATAATGTTATATATGCTAACTCTTTCATTTGCCCCTTAGGAAAATCTTACTTTCATTCACATGTCAAACTAGTAGGCTTATAATTTTCTAAATCTCCTTCCCCTGTTCCACCCCCTTTGGTATACCTCATTCTAGATTTTCTCTTCATTTCTTTGAAGTAAAGTGTTCAACGATGATAGTCATTTACATTAATGTTCTTGCCAGCACAAGGGGAAGTCTTTTTATTGATTCTAATTTCAGCTTGGCTTAATATTATAGCCTTTGCCAAGACTACATAGCAAAGTGTCTGCTTTACTTCAGGGTTTAAGATTACTTGTAAATACATTTCTCAAGAATTCATCAAGATTTCCCCTTGACTATATTATGTGTTTAATTTTAATTTTCTTTTGGAAATTTTAAATTGTCCTCCCAATAACATAGATAGAAGTGCAATCTATTTTATTGCATTTCTCTCTTTTAGCATAATGCTAATCCAATGTTGAATAATCCACCAATATGCATTTTAAAGTACACTTTATTATGTTTTATTGACATATAAATAAAGCTTATTTTAGCCCACTTGTCTGTAGTCAGTGCTTTCCACTTCAAAATGTGACATGACCCTATTTGAAGCACCAAATTGAGCCAAACTCACACCTATTGCTGTCCTAATACACCAAAACGTCCAGTGGGAAAAAATAACTCTCTGAGTCAGTTATTCCCACGTACAAAAAGAGAGAAAAAAAAATAGTTCACCTTATTCTCTTCTTCGCCACTCCTCCACTTACTCATGCATAACACAACATATTTTACTCAGTCTTTTCACTTCTCCCTGTGTAAAAACAATCAGCCTTAACAACTGATAGTAATTGCATTTCAAAATCATGCTTACAGTTTTTGTAGATTTTAATTTAATAATGACCCATCATATAGCTGTTCCAGAAATTATCACCAGCCAACTTAAGCAATATGTTTAAACACCATTGTCTGAACATAAGGTGGGATTCCATGAAGATTTTGTGGATGTATATATCACCAAAATGTCAGCTCCTGAGATGCAATTAAAATAGTAATAGGACATACAGATTCTTCTTGGAATAGTGCCTTATAAATTGGCTGCTCTCTTTTTTTTATGCCAAAACAATGTCAAAAGAGCACACACTGCTAATTAGGGAGAAGGGGGAGCTGGCTTGTAATCAGCAATCCCATTGCCTTAACTTTTATGAAGGCAGGAAATAGCTAGGTTCTAGCAGAATACTGCTGAAATTGAAGTAAGGGTCAATCCCATAAATCATATTTACAACCTTAATATAGCAATATATATTTTAGATGCTGAACACAGCTTGCCAACATTGCTTTCATTAGTAAATAAATTATATATCCAAATGAGCTTGGAAAGGCAAACCGAATTAGCAAAGAAAATGTCATCATCCTGTTTGTTTATTTTAATAGACTGATAATAGTGTAGGCTTTTCAAAGGATTATTTATTACATCACATTACATTATTTTAGGCCAGATACATTAATGGGTCTCCACCATGAGAGAAAAGAGGGCAATTTATTGCTTACCAGAAAAGTCTGGAATCTGACTTTGCTGCAGATTCCTTGAGGCAAGGGAAAAAAGAAATAAATTACAAATCAATCGGGCTGGAGGTTTGTTCAGCATATTTGTTCAGATCTTGTGAAATTTGCTGCATCCAATCAGAAGTAGCGCTAGAGCAGATTACAGAACATGTATTCCAGGGGTGGGATTCACTTACCTTCCCTACCAGTTCACAAATGTGAGTGCACGTGCCTCATCTGTGCATGCCATTGCCTTCTGCGCATGTGCAGTGCTTGCACATTACATCGGGGTGGGTGGGAGGAGCCTCCCTCATCCACCACTACTGGTTTGCCTGGACTGGAGAGAACTGGCTGAATACCACCTCTGGGGTATTGGTTTGTTTGTTTTTGGCCCAAAGTAGAAAAGGAAAGAGCATCCTCCCTGGCTCTTGCTATCCCCTTTGCATTCATTTTTTAATTTTTTCTTCAGCTGCTCAGAACTCACATGCAAATGCAATGGGCATGCTACATTTGGCAAGGCCTTCGAATCAGAGAAACAAAACTGATGAACCTTCATATCTCTCTCTCTCTCTCTCTCTCTCTCTCTCTCTCTCTCTCTCTCTCTCTCCCAACTCCAAGTTTAGAGAATAAAATGGAATAGATGGTTTGTTTTGCAACAGCACTTCTTAAGTTTTGAGTGCTTATTGAGGGCAGCAGCAGAAGGGCTCTGCAATCCAGCTTGAAGTGCTCCCGGATTGTTTGGCCAATGCTAGGAAAGAGAACAATTTCCTCCAGAAGTTCCATTTTAAGACTTCAATCATCTGTGTGTGTGTGTGTATGTACATGCGGGAATGCATTCTGCTGCTTTCAGCTACTGCTTCAGTTTATACCTCTTTTATTTTGTGGTCATGTTATTGTGTGTCACTGAGAAATGCTGATGTAAAGAAGAAGAATTTTTTTTAAAGATTGCGACTTGCTTTCTCTTTTCAGTTCAGAGGATGAGAAGTCAATTAGATGCTGTAGGATAGTGCAAGAGTTTGCTTGTAGACACTCTAATAAAATCCAAGCAAACTCCCTGTCACCATGTCAATCAAGCCAGAATGAAATCATGTTGTATGCTTGACCAGTTCCCCCCTCCCACAAAAAACCCAGTGTGCTAACTCATAGTTGCAAGGAGCCAGAAGCTATCGGGAAAGATAAGTGAAGAACCCCTGGAGTATATAACCCCCACAGGATGATCGAAGGTGTGAAGGTCATCCCAGCTGTTCTGCTAATGAAACAGGCACCTCTAATGCACAGCAATGATATAGGACAATGCTGCAGGCACATCATGTTAATGACAATGGCAAAGGCATCACTTCATACTGTGCAGAAGATAGAAATAGTGAACCACTCATTTAATTTAGTTTTTTTAAAAACCCTTTATGGATGGAAAATGCAAAATTATTGGCAATACAATGCTGGATGATGGGCCGCTCAGGTCAGGTGACACCCAAGATACTTCTGAGTATATCCTGAGGATTTTTCAGAATGACAATGGGATTTATGATGTGGCTGGTTTAAAGTTTAGTTGCTGATGATGTCGCCAAGCAGAAAAATCTGAGGCTGCAGCAATAGAATTAAGAGTATGAGCATGGGAAAGCTCAACACAGTAAAAGATTTCAGGTAGTCCTCGTCGTATGGCCAAAATTGAGCCCAAAATTTCTGTTGTTAAATGAAATGGTTGTTAAGTGGATTTTGGCTCATTTTCAACCTTCCTTGTCACAGTTGTTAAGTGAATCACTACAATTGTTAAATTAGTAACAACGTTATTAAGTGAATCTGGCTTCCCCATTGACTTTGTTTGTCAGAAGATCACAAAAGATGATCACATGATCCCAGGACATGTAACTGTCATAAATATGAGCCAGTTGCCATGGGGATGCTGCAATGGTTGCAAATGTGAAAAATGGTCATAAATCACTTTTTTCCAGTGCTGTTGTAATGTTGAACATCGCTAAATGAGTTGTTGTAAGTTGAGGACTATCCGTACATAAATCTGCACACATTACATCCTAGGTATCAGCAAATTGAGATAGACAGGAAATGGACACTCTCGGTTAGACAATCACACTATTTACTACTCAGGACCAAAGAAATTAAAAAATGGAATGGCACTGCTTTCATAAGAAGGTTATAACAAGTACAGTATTTGACTACAGTGCAATCATAATTGAATAATATTAAGTAAACTTCATGGATGCCCCTTTAATACGTCAGTCATCCAAGTTTATGTTCCAAATATTGATACAGAAGAACCCAACATTGATGGGTTTTTAATCAAGTTCATTGTGAATCAATAGAACATGCAAGCAAGATTTGCTGTTTGTTGAGATTGGAATGCCAAAATTGATAGAAATATCAAGGAGAAAAATATAGTTGGATTTTATGGCCTAAGAAACCCAATTAAAGCAGGAAAACAACTAATCAAAAATGTTTTTTCAAGTTTTTTTAAAAATGATTGTTTTACAAGTAAGTTCATTATTTTTGTTAAGTAAAGGTAACAAAAATAATGAATTTAATTGAGGGACTTATTTAAAAAAAGCTTTGGTTTATGGCATGAAATAATTTCAGGCACAAATACATATGAACTTTTATAACTCATGATTGTAAGAAAATGTGGAATCATGTAGGATAGAAGTTTCAGTTAAGCCTGAAAAGGAATTTTTCTCATATCTCTGTCAAAGGTGGCTTTAGCACCATACAGATTGGCAACCATTAATGCCTGACAGATATCTATCATTTTCTATTCCAAAGTTCACACAGTTACATGTTTGATAAAGATACAGCCAACAATTTGACAAGTTGTGTACAAATATATACCTACAAATATACTGATATATATTTGTCTGACTACAGTTATATTGTATCTGAATATTATAAGGTAAAATAATAAATAATAAAATAAATAATATCTGAATAAGGTAAAATAACTTTAATGGAATAATGAATTAATTTCACTGTCACAATCCAAATTTAACCTGATACTTATTGATTCTGATCTGATGCTCACCTGATATTTGCAGTCCAAACATGCATTCTTATACAGTGATCATAGAATTTGTGGTATCTAGCTTGATTAAATTTTTAGGCAGAAAAGTAATTCAGAAAACTGTCAGTAAAATGGAGAGGAATAATTGTTCAACCCAGATGACATTGCAATTCTTTAATATACTTGGACAAATTTTAAATAAAAGTCTTTTGCCAAAAAGAATTACTCAGGATACCTCCTAATTTCCTAGATCTTGACAGTTAGTTCCTTGAATCGGACAGCTACAGTTTCAGTCAGAATAAGGGCACTTCAGCAAAAAGGATGGTTTATGGAACTTAATATAGCAAGCCTGCAAATTACAGGATTCACAATAGAAAAAAAAGCTTTGAGAAGTATTGGTTTCCATCAGTGTCTAGTTCAATGCAGCTAGTTTTACTATGGTTCACATCCATTTGTTGTCACTGTATTTAGAAAGGTTCAGCTCAATTTCACAGTCCTTGTCTCCGCTGACTTCCATTTTTCGCAAGAACAGAATCTGACTTGTAAAAAGAAATAGCTGCCATTGTTGTTATTGTATTTATCCCATTTCAAATATACCTCTGCATTTGCTGCAACTGAAAAGGTCAGTCTGAGCCCATTAACTAACATATATCAAATACTTGTATCTTTCTTATAGAGAAGTAACATTCTTTTATGACTCTAACCATTGTGCCAAGATAGTAGGATAAAGACAAGGAGAATAAAACATGAAAAAAACAAGATAAAGAATTTCTATCCACAAAAACTATTCTCTACACACACACACACACACACACACACACACACACACACACATACACACACAGTTGTATAGATATCATGAATAACAGTGAAACTTGACTAATACTCCAGATAACAGTCAGTGGAAGTAAAGTATTCATGTGAAGAGATTCACATTGGGAGAGAACAATTGTATCTTCTCACAACTCTCTCAGATTCCATAGTTCATTCCATAGTTCTTTTGATTCTCTGTTGGTGAGGTTCAGGTCTTCAAAATGATTCCTGAGATTCTCCTTGAAAATAACAGCTATTGTATATGTTCATATCAGAAAAATTGACTAGTATTTCATCTTCCTTAGCTTAAACTGGAATTGCACATGAGCAATTCATGATTTGTTTCACAGTCTTTGATGCTCTAATTGGGATCTTCCCATTTCCTTTTAGCAATAATTTAGTCAATTTGGTTTCTTTGTATTTCATCTGGTGATCTCCATATATGCAGATGTTCTGGTCCTTTGAAGATAGTGTTAGCTGTGAAAAAATGATTTTTTTTGGGGGGGGGGGCAGAAAATAATAAGTCGTTATAACCTGCTTCGGTTTCCTAAGCAAAATCCAACTATGGATAGTCCTTGCTTTATGACCACAATTGAGCCCAAAAGTTCTGTTGTTAAGCAAGACAGCTGTTAAGTGAATTTTGCCTCATTTTGCAACCTTTCTTGCCACTATTATGAAATGAATAGCTGCATATTTCCAAGTTTGGCATTCTCTAGTCTCAAACAGCACATCCTTCTTGTGGATTCTTTAATTTCAAATTGAAGTTGATTATAACACTTATCAACCCCGTCTTCTTCTGCATCAGCTGTTGAAGCATAAACTTGAATGATTGTCATATTAAAGCATTGTCCAAAATCCAATTGATATTATTAACTAAGAATACAAAACTAAGAAATCATAGAAATATAAAAAGTCATATTGCTAAAATAAAATGCCAAAGACCTTACAGAAAAACCACATTTGCACTTGCTTCTGGAAACGTGAAGACGGAGACCATAAGTGATTCAAAGGAAAACCATGTTTAACATTTTAATTTACATCTGTGTGAGTTTAGAAATAATACAAATGTGTTGTTTTTATCGTAGCTCTTTGTGATCAAAAATGCCTGTTTGGAGGCCGATGCATCCAACCTAATGTTTGTGCTTGTAGAAGTGGATACGATGGTCTTGACTGCGGAAAGAAGGTATGGCATTGTTTCAAACAGTGGTACCGATTAATGAAAGGGGAATATAATTAAGTGGCAATGCAATTAAAACATTTTGGGCATGACCTATAAAAAGAGTGTGGCTTTTTTTTTTGAGAAATTTTTTTATTGTTTTAGTTAAACAAAGAAAAATAAGAAAAAATATCATCTTTCATTACATCTTGTTGAAAGCGTATCTATTGGTTACAAATATATTCTGAAAAAAAGAGAGTGTGGTTTTTGTTTACTCTTATAATAACTTATCTTATTAAACAGGCTTCAGTGTATATGGAATTGAGGCATATACATGACAGAGGAATGTAAGGACAGAGAGGAATGTAAGGTCTGCTGTATTTGGATTATGTTAGATGAGACTCTTATAACAAGCTTTCCACATTCAATATTCTGAAAGTAGAGTCACCTTTCAACTCAAAATTACAGTTATTGGTGTATTTTATGACAGTGACATTCTTTCCAGCAAATTCCCAGCTTTTATTTGAAATTAGCATATACAGTACATGAAGATAAGGAGAAACAATATTTATTGTAATTTCAGATTTCATAATAGCTATGTAAACTGGGCAGTTATAGCTAGAGATAGTGGTAAGCATCCTGCAATTTCTAAAGTACTTTACTTCAATTTCTGCTATGTATGAAACCCTTGGTTTCAATGAAATGCACTAAAGAGATTGATTGTGTGTATGTTTTTAAAAGCAGAAGGTTTTTTAGAATGGTGTTTTGCAAGTTGACCTTTCCATTATATCAAAATCAAAATTATCAGTTGTGTTTTCAGAACACCGCCATAATTGTGAACGCGAGGCATGAGATCTGTAAGCTCACAAATGAATAAATCTTTTTTGCATTTTGTAGAAAATACCAAATCACATGCTGAGCATCCACTTTCCTACCAGCGAGCCATTGTACAGTAAATAGAATTTGGAGATGTGTTAGCAGCAGTTCTAGCGTACGAGAAATGGTACCCAAGGGGGTCACTGCACTCTCACTAAACTCGTTTATCTTGTCATCAAGTAAAGTCAGTGATAAAAAGAATACAGTCCATACCTAACCAACCATGGTTAGAGGAATCGCCAGCAAAATTGAATGAAACTGTCTTCTTTGTACTCAATTCAGCTTTGAATCAGATGAAGAATAAAACTAACAACTAGTCATTATAAGTCCAACTTCTGAGATTAATAATTTGATACTTCTGAATCATTGAGAATGCAATTGTGTGAGAGAGAGGGGGGGAGGGAGGAAGAATTGGGATTCAGTGGCTTAGGCTTATTCCAGGATGATTACAGCTGTGCAGATATGATCACAAACTATATCTTACCACTAATCTTAGGAGATATATTTATCCATTTCTTTCTTTCTTTCTTTCTTTCTTTCTTTCTTTCTTTCTTTCTTTCTATCTATCTATCTATCTATCTATCTATCTATCTATCTATCTATCTATCTATCTATCTATCTATCTATCTATCTATCTAT